ACCAGCTCCCAGTAGATCATTTTAACACTAACAGGAGAAAACAAAAGCTTTTAACTTAACCTAGAGCGTTGAAGATGTTACAGTCCTGCATGAAGCCCAACAAGAAGCTACTTTACTGACTGAATTCATTTGTAGGCCACAGTCATCGATTCTCATGGTTACGTAATAAAGATGTACTGGTCAGAGTTCTCTTGTTGGCTCTTCCTTCTTCCATCTCAGGAACGTTGCTAAGCTGAGTCCCATTCTGTCCCGCTCTGAACTTGAGACAGTTCTCCACACCTTCATCTCCTCATGCTTAGACTACTCTAACTCTCTTTTCACGTGTCTGAGCAGAACCTCCCTGAACCGTCTACAGGTGGTTCAGAACGCCTGTGCTCGGCTTCTGACCAAGTCCTCCAAACACACCCACATCACCCCGCTTCTCCTCCAGCTTCACTGGCTGCCAGTCAACTTCAGGGTTCATTTCAAGATCCTGGATTTGGTCTATAGGGCCTTACATGGACAAGCACCATCTTACATTGGTGATCTTCTTAGTCCCTACACCCCCAGCAGGTCCCTGAGGTCCAGTGACCAAAGCCTACTGGTTGTGCAGCACCAGGCTAAAGACCAGAGGTGACAGATCATCTGCTGCTGTGGCCCCCAGACTCTGGAACTCTCTCCCCCTGAGCCTGAGATCAGTGGACTCAGTGGTCTCCTTTAAAAAGCAGCTGAAGACTCACTTGTTCAAGCTGGCTTTTGTATGACCTTCTTCACCTCTCTCTCTTTATTCTGCTCTCCCCACCTATTCCACCTTCCTCAGGATCCACTGATTTCCCTCTTTCCTGTTCACTCTCTCTCTTTCTTTACATTTTGTTTTTTAATCACAATTGTCTATTTTTGCTCATTTTAAATGTATTTTTAAACATTTTCTAAATGCTTTTTTATATTTTTACATTTTTTGTTTTTGTGAAGCGCCTCGTGATTTTTATCTTGAGAGGCGCTATAGAAATGATATTTTCTCCTTCTTCTTCTTCTCCTTCTTCTCCTTCTTCTTCTTCTTCTTCTTCTTCGTCAGTGAAACCCAACCCGAACCACTTTTCATTATAACCTCAAATCTGGCAGAAGATGGTTTCCACAATAAACTGGGGTTAAAAACATGAGTTTAATTGACCAAACTGAACAGGTTTTGCTCTCTTTTTTTTTTTAATTAAAAATCTCAATTTTCTTTCCCAACCCATGACATCTTCAGTGATTTTTCACAGATCATGTCGCACAATGTCCAGACAAACGTGGCAATTTGAAGTGAATTTGGCACCAACGTGAGATCCTCCCATTATGATGAAAGAATAAAAAACTGAAGACGAGCAGCTCTCTGAGCTCTGACTTCGCTGTTTCCAAGTGCTTTGTGCTGCGGCTGAACTGGGGACAAGATGGCACCTACCATAAAGGTAGTAATCATTTTCACTGTGCAGATTTTCCCAACAGTTTTCCAGGTTTTAACATAAGATGAAGGGCGTCTGAAGCGGTCCCAGCAGCACCTGCAGACGCCGAACCGATCCGCCTGTCGATCTCCCGATCCCTCCTACCCTCACTCGTGAACAAGACCCCGAGATACTTAAACTCCTCCACTTGAGGTAGGACCTCTCCCCCGACCCGGAGTTGGCAAGCCACCCTTTTCCGGTCGAGGACCGCGGTCTCAGATTTGGAGGTGCCGATCCTCATCCCAGCCGCTTCACAGTTGGAAGTGTTTGCAAAAAAGAACGTGGACTTCCTGATTGCTGAGATTTCACGCTCCACCGGACACTTTGTATGTTTTAGATTTGAATTTGTAAACAAAGACAACTACAACTGCAGTGCTTTGAGCATGTTGAGGAGGCGGAGTGGGCCGTGCAGGTCCTGAAGACCAGCGGGAAGCCTGTGGCTGCGTCTCTGTGTGTGTTGGACCTGAAGGAGACATGCATGGCGTCTAACCCGGAGAGTGTGCTGTCAGGCTGGTGAAGGCCGGGGTGATCCTCACCCGAAACGTTCTTTAGTTTTCCTTATCGGAAAGACTTAAAACAAGAATAATGCATCTGCATGTGCCCAGATTGTAGGAGTTAACTGCCACTTTGACTCTTTGACCTGTGTGAAGACTGTGAAGGTGATGAAGGAGGGGGTGGAGAAGGCCAAGCTGAAGGCTCACTGCACGGTGCAGCCGCTGGCGTAGCACACTCCTGACTGCAGCTGTCAGGGATTCATCGACCTGCCGGAATTCCCTTTTGGTGAATTGTTTGTGCATAAAATCAAGAGTAAAACTTGTAGATTTTCACACATTTTCTCTCTGATGTTCTCAGCCTTGGAGCCCAGGATCCTGACCAGATGGCACATGCAGAAGTATGCCAGGGAGGCCCACAACGTGGGTATTTGTTATATCGGTGGCTGCTGTGGGCTTGAGCCGTATCACACCAGGGCTGTGGCAGAAGAGCCGGCTGCAGAGAGAGGAACACTGCCTCCTGGATCAGAGAAGCACGGACTGCGGGGATCCGGTCTGGAGATGCGTACCAAACCCTGGGTCAGAGCCAGGTAGGACATCTGCAGGACTCAAACACTCAAAATGCACCAGAATCAGAATCTCTTCTGCTGTCTCTATCGCACCCGGGGCTCGTCGTGTCTACTGGGAAAATCTTAAACCAGCATCTGGTTGTCCCAAGTGCCCGTCCTCATCCACGCCCGAAGGATGGGGCGTGACCAAAGGCCACGTTGACCTGCTGCAGCACAAAGAGGCAACCAGCGCCCAGGAAATGAAGCATGCCCTGGAGATGCAGAAGGCTAAATCCTCTGCTTAAACACGACTAGTGATAGCAACACACAGATGTTCGGTTCAGAGGTCTAAAAAACTCTTGATCCAATCATTACACGTCAATAAACCTGAGTTTTTGACCGTGTTGAATCAATGTTGCTGAATTTAACAAATAGAATGTAAAAAACACGCTTTTCACGTTCACTAAATTAGAAATCCTCCATTATTCGGGCTCCACCTATAAAGGTTATATTGTTTTTTAAAACATGAACCCACAAACCGACAGAGAAGCTGACCAAAACACCAAGAACCGCAATTAATCCGGACCAAACCAGAAGCATGCTTTCACGGTACCGTCATACAGTCAGAAAGAGGAGGGAGAGAGAGTAAACACGGCGGTTGTGTAACGTAGTCCTCACCAATCAGAGCTGCTCTCTCTCACACCCCTCCCCTGCGGTGGAGAGATTTATGGTGGCCCCCTGCTCCTCTCTAATGTCACTTCACACCTCTCAGAGCCTGAGCTGTCAGGGGTCCACACGGCCGCAGGAGAATGGCATCAACAAACAAGGTACGTGTGAAAGTCCTGCAGGGAAAAATCCACAAGCAGCAGCTGGAAGGTTTATTCAAAAGTTAGATTCCTGACATTTCTTGTCTTGGACTCGTTAATGCAAGACTCGTGATTATTATTTATGCTATTTCAGGATTCATTTAAATAAATTGCAACTAACATTTTTCTCATATGTTGCACATGGAGATGTTTTTCTACTAAATTAGTGCTTTAGCCGTAGGTGGAGAGTCACTCTGCAGACATATGACTGTGTTTGTCTGAGAGGCTTGTTCTGGGCAGAGGGTTTCTGAGGAACATTCTGCACAACCGAAACACCTAAACCTCCAACTGCTGCAGGACACAAATACCAAGACCTTCACGATCTAGTTTAACTCCCACAAAGTTTAATCTTTCAGTACATTTTCATTAAAATAGTTCAGATTCTACCATTTAATGCTCGTGTTGTTCAGAAACAAAGAAACGGTGAGACCTAAATTTATGCTTTAAACGTTTAATTTTCTGATTCACCACAAAGAGCAAAATAAAGATGATTGCTCCCTCTTACAGAGAGTAAAACATAAATTATGATGGTTTACTCAGGCTGCGCAGTGGCGCAGTGGTTAGAGCTGTTGCCTTGCAGCAAGAAGGTGCTAGGTTCGCTTCCCGGCCTGGGGTGTTTCTGCATGGAGTTAGCATGTTCTCCCTGTGCATGCGTGGGTTCTCTCCGGGTTCTCCGGCTTCCTCCCACGGTCCAAAAACATGACTGTTAGGCTGATTGGTCTGTCTAAATTGTCCTTAGGTGTGTGTGTGTGTGATTGTTTGTCCTGTGTGTCTCTGTGTTGCCCTGCGATGGACTGGCTCTCTGTCCAGGGTGTACCCCGCCCGATTGCCCATTGACCGCTGGAGATAGGCACCAGCCCCCCCCCCCCCCCCCCCCCCCCCCCCCCCCCCCGGCGACCCTACATGGACAAGCGGGTTCAGCAAATGGATGGATGGTTTACTTATATTCTAAAAACCATATTTTGCTGCTGCGGAGACGTCTCATGAGTTTTTCATTTGGCTTTACGAATAAATCCCAACATTCATAGTTTGCATAAATTTAGAGTAATTAGGTTTAAATGTCTGCAGATCATTTATGGTGAGCCTAAACACAAAAATCAATATTTTAGATACGCATCTAGGAGTCAGCAGCTGCTCTTTGATGACTCTACCTCCCTGTGATGAGACACTCGTGTTGGGCAATGATTTTAATTTAAATCAGCTGCTTTTCGAGTGAAATTTTGCCTTTAATTTGGCGTCTAAACTATAGAAATTGCAGCTTTCTTGTATTCCTTTGAAGTTTTCTAGACTCACTGACTAATTATTTCAGGGAATCTTGGAGCGTCTCGATGCGGGGGAAGTTGTCATCGGAGACGGGGGCTTCGTGTTTGCTCTGGAGAAGAGGGGCTACGTGAAGGCTGGACCCTGGACCCCTGAAGCTGCTGCAGAGCATCCCGAGGCTGGTGGGGGATCATTCCCTTGAAATCAATGTTTCCTCTAAAACAAACTAACATGATTTAAAATAGGAACAAGTGGACTCTTTAGTTTTATGCTGAGTTATTCATGCATTTGCCTCTAAATCTTTCACCATGCATGACCAGTCGGCCTCACGTTGGTGTTTCTGGTGGATTTTCAGTGCGACAGCTGCACAGGGAGTTCCTGCGGGCTGGATCCAACGTCATGCAGACCTTCACCTTCTACGCCAGTGACGACAAGCTGGAGAACAGAGGCAACAAGCTCACCTTCACCGTAAGCTAACCGAGACACTGCTTTTCTAAGAAAGGGAGTATTTTGCGGGAGGCTGCAGTGGTGCCCCTAAGGGGTGGCCAGGGGGGTCACCTTAATGACCCCCCACCCAATAAATCAAATTCATATTCACACAAAATATCAATTCTTCTCTTTTTAATCAAGAGATTAAATCAAATCAAATGTATTTGTCTAGCGCGTAAAATGCAACAAAGTTGCCCAAAGGCCTGAACGTAGATATATAAAAACAACTTAATAAAAACAGTCAATTAAAAACATAATAAAACACAAAAAATAGTACATTAAAAATCTGACGTTAGAAATGGTAAAAAGCAGGACTACCAAGTCAACTAGGAGTACTAAAAGCTGTCGAATGTAATACCAATAAATAAATATTTGATTATTGAGCAAATAAATAAAAATTTAAGTCAATAAATGTTGCCTTGGATGGTTTTGATAAAGACCAAGCTAACTGAGAAACGGTTTGTTACTTTTTATTTTTAGATTACGGTCGGTTACTCTAAGTTTCACACGTAAGCCGAACGTGACAATAGTCTCCCAAACCAGGCTCGGCTCAGGAACGCCAATCAGATCTACATCTCATTATATATTGGACCCACGATTCCTGGCTCCTGATTGCGGAAGGCTGTTAATAATTTCGCATCCAAGAGAGAACAGAGGGTGTCTTAGCTAGTAGAAGCTAGCATGGACGTAATTTTGGGGGGGACAGGGGGGACATGTCCCCTCCACTTTTTCCAAAGTCAAGTTTTGACCCCTGCACTTTTTACCATCCAAAAACAATATTACGCTATATTAAATTGACACTGGTTGAGCTCTAGGACCAAGCGGAAAACAACCGTTTGTGTTGAAGCCTGTTTCCCATTAGAGCATATTGTAAAGATACTACCCCCCACCCCCACTCCCCCACCCCCCGTGTCCCCTCTACTTCTAAAGTGAAAATTACGTCCATGGAAGCTAGCCATTAGCATTAGCAACTCCACAACATGGCAGAACTCCTTCAGGCTTGAGGAGATAAAACATCAACATCGAGGGGGTGGTGCAGTTGCATCGCTGTTATCCAATCAGAGGCAAATTGTTAGAATATTGTTACCATTAATGAGTAAGAGCTTGTTTTTCTACCAGGAACAACACCCAAGGGCAAATTACACTTCTCCGTTTGAAATAATTGTCTTTTTACAGAAATGTTTGTGCTTCTCAAATTTCTAGGTAATTGTGTTAGATGTACGTTGTATTTTAGTGGTAAATAATAAAAGAGCATGCAATGAACCAGCACAAACTAAACACCCCTGGGGTTACCACAAGCACTAAATTTGGCGTGCCACCCCAAAATCTTCACTGACCCTCTCATGAAAATGATCTGGGGGCACCACTGGGGGCTGCAGGAGGGAATGTGACTTTGTTTAGGTCATGTTGGACTTTTATAACTCCATTTACAGGGAGCTCAGATCAACGAGGCCGCCTGCGATTTGGCCCGAGAGGTCGCCAACGAGGGCGACGCTCTGGTTGCAGGAGGGGTGTCCCAGACACCGTCCTATCTGAGCTGCAAGAGCGAGAAGGAGGTGAAGGCCACCTTCAAGAAACAGCTTGACGTCTTCATCAAGAAGAACGTTGACTTCCTCATAGCTGAGGTGGAGATTTAACTATAGAACACAGGTCGAAGTGGAATGCTAAAGAAACGAGTCACGACTGAGAGCTTTCTCCTGCAGTATTTTGAACACGTTGAAGAGGCTGTGTGGGCCGTGGAGGTGCTGAAGGAGACGGGGAAGCCTGTGGCAGCATCGCTGTGTGTTGGACCTGAAGGGGACATGCACGGTGTCCCCCCTGGAGAGTGTGCCGTCAGGCTCGTCAAAGCCGGTACGTAAATGAGCGTTTCTGGAAGTTTAGCAGCTTTCCAAATGACTTTTATGGATATCAGGACTTCAAGTGAAAGTCAAACATTTTTACAAATTCAAAACTATTTCATGTGTGTATAGGTCTCTGATTCTATAATAAAAAACTGAAATTTACCTTGTTTTTATGACCAGTTGGTACTAACACTAAGATCACACCTTACTCAGGGCTATTCAGTTCGAGGCCTCGAGGGCAGGTGTTCAGTACCTTTTGGATTTAACCCTGCTTCAACACATCTGATTTCAATTAGTAGGTGATCAACAGGCTTCTGCAGAGCCTGGTGAGCTGCTGCACAGGTGATTTAACCACTGAATCATGTGTGTTGGAGCAGAGAAACCACTAAAACATGCTGGATACCGGCCCTCCAGGCCCAGAATTGAATACCCCTTCCTTACTCTCTTGTCTTACTGATGTAATACATTTTTACTGGAAGCAGCAAGTCCAAAAATTATGTGTCCAGTTACTGTTTTGTAAAATATTTGCAACTGAAATTTAATTGTGAAACCATTCGTTGCATATTAAAGCTGGCACCCTGTAGTGGTGTATCTAACAGGTTGCTGAATGTTTCCAGGAGCCCAGATTGTGGGGGTTAACTGCCACTTTGACCCGTTGACCTGTGTGAAGACTGTCAAGATGATGAAAGAGGGAGTAGAGAAGGCCGGTCTGAAGGCTCACTACATGGTGCAGCCGCTAGCGTACCACACTCCGGACTGCAACTGTCAGGGATTCATCGACTTGCCGGAGTTTCCCTTTGGTAATAATAAGACGGAACGATCTTTTATTTAGCGCCTTTCAAGATTCAATTCAACATCCAATGTTCATTTTTCTCTACGACCATGTTTTCATTGTCTACCAGGGCTGGAGCCCAGAATACTGACCCGCTGGGACATGCACAAGTATGCCCGAGACGCCTACAACGCCGGCATCCGATTTATTGGTGGCTGCTGTGGGTTTGAGCCCTATCACATCAGGGCTGTGGCAGAAGAGCTAGCCCCTGAGAGAGGCTTCCTTCCAGCTGCATCAGAGAAACATGGTACCTGGGGAGCTGGTCTGGAGATGCACACTAAACCTTGGGTTAGAGCCAGGTCAGTATGTTGGTGGAAACATCCCCTAAACTTGGTCAGATCTGTCATAGAAGCTTATCAGCATCAGGGACAATAAGCTAGCATTTTCCTTTTCTTTTAGAGCCCGCCGTGACTACTGGGAGAACCTGAAACCAGCCTCAGGTCGTCCACTGTGTCCCTCCATGTCCAGCCCTGATGGTTGGGGTGTCACCAAGGGCCACGCTGATCTTCTGCAGCAGAAAGAGGCCACCACTAAGGACCAGCTCAAACAGCTGTTCGACAGATCAAAGACCCACTGATTCAGTTCATCGTATTCACATCTGGCAGCAGCCCCGCTTCAAACAGGGCTGTGAAGCTTCCGCCCTTTTGTGATGTAGCATGTGTTTATAGACTGGTGACCAGCACAGCATCAAGCAGTACCTTACATGAGACTGCTCTGTTCTGTACATCTGTTATGCTAACTGCAGAAATGAAACCAAAGTGTCTCATGTTGGCTCACGCTGGAGTAGGGACCTGCTTGTTTTCTGTAACCTGGGACCAGTTTGATAAATAAAATGTCTAATAAAAAACAAAAAGAAGAATATTCCTAAACAGCAGTCTGCATTGCAACTTGTCTCTTTTTAGATAAGGAAGAGCAAATTGATATCATATCATATAATAAAATATTTATTCATTATTTAACTAATTTGATAATTATTACAAGATAGTTTCGTATTAAAATTCCACTTTTTGGTGGATCACTTTGGATGGTGCTTGCTGGTTGAAGAGTGACCGGTGTGATGCAGAGCGTTGTGATCATAGACATGAATACATAGATGCCCCATTGGGCACTGGAGAGCGTAAAAGTGTTTCTTCCATTTTGTTCTGTGTTTACCTTGTATTGAAATATTTTGAATCTTAAATTAAAAAAATTAAAAATAAAAGAGTGTTGCTTCCATAATGGTTGGGTCCCTCACTCTTCAAACCCAAATGGAGTCAATGCAGAGTGGGCAACTATCCTCATTTTTATGCAGCCTAGAGTTGCAACAACCAGAGCTCCAGACCCCACGTGACTCTCAGTTAGTGGACGCCATTTTGGCATGCAAAAAAGGTAAACAAACACGGATGTAACCATGAACATGAACGGGATCCGCTTGGATTTTACTTCGTCGGAGTTTACTTCACACCTTAAAACAGAATAAATCGTTTTATATAGTCAGAAATTAAATAGACTAAACATCTCCGACCCTTACCGTGCCCCTGGGATACTTTTTAAAAACGCCAGAAGCTGTCGGAGCGGACTTCTTACCGGCACAACACCAGACCTGACCAGGGAACCCCTTGGGATTTACCCGGAGGAGCTGGCTCCGGCGGCTGGGGAGAGGGAAGTCACGCTACTGCCCCCGCAACCCGACTCCGGATACGCAGATGAAAATGGATGGATGGACGGACAAATAACAGATTTACACATAAGTAGTCTCGGTGAGACAGATAATAGCAATCCAAAGTGCTTTTTATGTGTGATCTGACAATTGATCAACCATTGCTTAAAAATTAAATACAGCTTAGCCGGTTAATTGCTGTCACCATAAAACACGGAAACGGCAGCACTCAGAACTCACAAGGCAACGTTTTACGGGATGTTTACTTGTTGCTATGAGTAATAAGACAGAAAAAGCCACGCCAAAATAAGTTTAGGAAGCCCACTAAGAATCATAATAAAAGCATTTAAAATAAATACCATACACAGTTGAGGAAACGTTGGTTTAAGTACCTGATATGAAGCGGTCGCTGCATAAGTGAAAACCTTTACTCTCAGGATCCCACAGCTTCATTTTCGCCCGGTCACTAGCGTGTTTTATTACAATGATCCAACGTTTGCGGCGCTCCGGATCTTGGGGAATCCTGTAGATGGCTCATTCCTTATGTCGTCCGCGTCTGTTCTGCATCCTGGGGCACAACAGGAATCTACCATATTTCCCGTTTGATTGAGTTTTCTGACAATAACAAATAGTCCAGCTTCCGGCTTCTGCATGCCAATATGGCGCCGTTTCGATTTGAACTGTTGCATGCCGGGAGAAGTGACGTCAACTCCCGGAGCTCTAATAGACACCAGTTTTACAACAACAGGATAACTATTAATTTTATATTTTTATAAATTTTATTTTATTTTATTTATATTTTAATTATCATGCAATGCCACATGACTGATTTTGTGATTAGCATAATTAAATGTGTTTTTTTAGTTGGGTAAACGCCTTCCTCAGTAGAAATTAACATACCGGGAGCGAGTGGAGACCCATCCAAGATGGCGGCCTGCCACTACGACAGCTCTTGTCCACAGGGCGTCTGCGTACATGATGCCTGTGGTTGTGATCGTTTTGTGTGGGTGTGGCGCACTGTTCTGTTGGAATGATTTTTAGTAACTTGCTGAGGTGTGAGTCCACTTTGGGAGCTTTTTTATTGCGGTGACAACGGAAGTGGACCGGTAGATGCGTTGTCCCAGGCCTCGCCCCCTTTATCCTTATCGTTTGATAAACAACAGCGCCCTCTTGCATTGCGCCTGTGCGGCCACAAGAAGCGGAAGTAGGGTCGTCATGGGAAGCAAAGTCAGCTCCAAAATGGCAGCTCCCGCGGCGAGAGTAATTCAGGTAAATTCGCTCATAAAATCTTTACTTAATAGCTATTATGGGCGTTGTGGCTTTGTGTAATTTTTAAGGTAAAATGAGCTTAAGGTAGCTGTTTATCGATCACAGTGAGCCATGTTTGCTCACTAATGCCTCACGTACCCTTTGTGCCCTTGTTAAAGCAGAATTGTTGTGTTTAATGGCAAAGAGATGATTTTATTCATTAAATCACAAATATGCGGACTGACAGTGAATTTATGTAAGCATCGGCTCTCCTGTCACATCTGACTGCAGTACATGCTACGCTAGCTAGTCCACTTAAATGCAATAATCAACAAATCACATTATAGATCAAACTTTTAACATCTGTTTATTTTCTCTGGCTCAATTACAAACACAAGTACGTCTTAGTCTTGCAAAAAAATGACTGATTTCTTTAATTTTCACAAGTTACTTTCGCATTCATTGAGTATTTAAAGTCAAAAAGACAATAAATTAAAAGATGAGGACAAATAGAAGCATTCGCTTTTGTTTTGCAGTCTCGCCACCTCCATATCAGTTCATATGAATGAATCATGAACATATGTGTGAAACCATTCATTTAGAAATATAGTTGCATTTTTAATAATGAATACACACATTTATACCCTGAATATCCTGAAAAATAACCTATGAACCGATGGTCTTAGCAGCAAAATAACTGTTTTTAACAGTTTTTATGCAGTTTGGGCTCAAGAATAACATTTAAGTTTTGTGTTGCAAAACAAACAATATTGAAGGTGAGATTCCATAGTTTCTGTATTTGACTTTGCGCGTCAGAAAAAGCCTGCAAACAAAGTCTGATTTCTGTTGTTACTGTTTTCGCAGGCTGTTCGGCCACACGCTCCACTGATCAAGTTCCCCAGCAGACACGGCATACCCAGGCCCAACGGTAAAGCTTTAAATAATTATGTAGATTATATAATTTATTTATTCATAAACCTTAATTTTTAAGAAGATTAACCACTTTAGATTTACCATCTCGCAGGGTCCGAAATTAAGTTTTTTACTCACCGGCCAAGTTGGCCGGTAGATGATGAAAATCTACCGGCCAAGCACATTTTTTACCGTCCAAAATTCTAAATGATTTAGATCTACCTAAAGCATGTTATTCTATATTATGTTGATTCCAAACAGAGTGACAAAATAATTAAAACATCAATTAATAAGGAAAACAACTCTTTTGTCATTTTTACTATTTATTTATTTATTTATTTTTAGAGATGTTTTTATGAACTCTTTCATTGAAATCTAGTCAGACTCCTTGTTTTCTCTGTCCATGAAGTCTGGCCTCCTGCTTCTGACACCGTCTGTTGGCCAAAGCATTACAGCCTCATTTGGGTCCTAGTCCTTGATCTCTGGAGAACACAGCTGCACCATGAGAATATCTGAAAGTGTGTCAGGGCTAGGGTTGTCACGGTAACCGGTGTAGCGGTAAACCCCGGTAAAAAAGTTGACAATAATAATAACCGTCTTGTTTTTAAAAAAACTATATTATCTCGGTGGATTACCGTGGCTGCGGTGTAGGCGCGGTGACCCTTACCAGCCACCGTATCATCTGGAAGGTGCCGGCGGCACATGCGCACTTTGTTGTTTACGACCAAAACTTTCTTGAAGCTAAAGCTGAAATAATGGCCAGAGGAGACGGCAGCACTCGGGACATTTATTATCCCTCAAAGAAGACAAAGTCGGAAGTATGGGCATTTTTTGGATATTTGAAGAATGCCGAGGGACAGTTGTCTGTGAAAGGCAGCAACACTACGTGGCCATCATAATGTAGCCATTGTCTCACGACTCCGCCATCTCCAGTTCGCCACTTTTCACAAAATCTTCTGGTTGCCACTGGTCCTGGTGGTTTTTCTTCCAGTTCGACGAGTTTTCTTTTGGAAGGCTGGCTGACTCCAGTTAAAAACCGCCACATTTCACCGCTAGTTTTAACACGAAGCTAACTGCTAACTTGATAAACTGATTGAATGGGATAGGTGGAAATGACGTTGGATGTGGCGCTCACGTTTCGCGTACGTTTGTGTACGTTGCATGCAGGCGGGAGGAGTATCAGACATCCATGGAAGATGAATGATAAACATAACTAATTTGGTGCAAACGTTTACTCGCCATGCGGCAGGTAGAGCTCAAAAATTTACTCGCCAAATGGAGCAATTTGGCGAGTGTTAATTTCGGACCCTGATGTCGTTTTCAAGCCATCATATATTTATAATCAGCTCAAGCTAAAGAAATTATGTAGATGATATAGAGGTGATCGTGTAGCACAGTTGATTCAGGCTGTTAGGTCCCTGTATGACCGGTGAGAGTTGGGCTCCGCCAAGGCTGCCCTTCGTTACCGATTCTGTTCATAACTTTTATGGACGGGAATTCTAGGTGCAGCCAAGATGTTGAGGGGATCTGAGGATCAGGTCTATGTTTTTTTGCAGATGATGTGGTCCTGTTGGCTTCATCAGAACGTGATTTTCAACTTTTGCTGGAGCCTTTCGCATGGGATGAGAATCAGCTCCGCTAAGTCCAAGACCGTGGTTTTGAGTCGGAAAGGGTAGAATGCTTTCTCCAGGTCAGGGATGAGGTCCGGCCCCAAGTGGAGGAGTTTAAGTAATTTTGCATCTTGTTCACGAGTGAGGCAAGATGGATAAGCTGGTGCAGTCTGCAGTGATGTGGGCGTTGTTCCGATCTGTCGTGGTGAAAAGAGAGCTGAGCTCTAAATATACCGGTAGATCTACATTCTTACCCTCACCTTTGCTCACGAGCTTTGGGTAGTTAAAGTCCCATTAGTTGTCACACACACTGATATGTGTGCGAAATTTGTTCTCCACGTTTGACCCATCCCCTGGGGGAGCGGTGAGCTGCAGACACAGTCGCGCTCGGGAACCATTTGGTGGTTTAACCCCCCAATCCAACCCCTTAATGCTGATTGTCAAGCAGGGAGGCATCGGGTCCCATTTTTTTCTAAGTCTTTGGTATGACCCGACCAGGAATTGAACCCTGATCTCCCAGTCTCAGGACGGACACTCTACCAGTAGGCCACTGAGCTGGTAGTGACCAAAAGACCGAGATTGCAGCGACTAGCGGTCGAAATGAGTTTTCTCCACAGGATGTCTGGGCTCTCTCTTAGAGATAGGGTGAGAAGCTCGGTCATCCAGGAGGAGCTCTGAGTAGAACCGCTGCTCCTCCACATCGAGAGGAGCCAGTTGAGGTGGCTCGGGCATCTGGTCAGGATGCCTCCTGGACGCCTCCCTGGTGAGGTTTTCCAGGCACGTCCAACCAGGAGGAGACCTAAAGGTAGACCCAGGACACGGTGGAGGAACTATGTCTCTCGGCTGGCCAGGGAACACCTTGGGATTCCCCTGGAGGAGCTGGCCCAAGTGGTTGGAGAGAGGGAAGTCTGGGCCTCTCTGCCTAATGGTTGGTTTATGCTTGACGCGTCCGCGAGGTTCGCATAACTCCGCGCGGAAAAGTTGCGTCATTTTAACAACCACGCCCCTCCACCGCGCCTCCGCACGGCCCAGACCAGAATTTCTGCACCGCGCACCTAGGAAATTTTCTAACCACGCGGACGGACGGACGCGGAAAAACATGGCGGACTGGCAAGAACTAGTACGGCAGAGGTTGGTAAATACAGACTTTTGTATGCTTCAGCTCTCAGAGATCACCGTGATCAACATGTTGTTAATAATTCTTGGAGAGAAATAGCTCGCACTGTCGGAAAAGACGAGGACGCTGTTAAAAATGCTGGAATGCCATGTTGTAAACAGTAATTTCTACTTCTACTATGGTGTAGTGTTGGGTGCATGCCGTAGAGCTCCATGCTGCCCCCTACAGTTTGGGAGAATATTGGCTCACCGCAGAGACGAGCCGCACAAACCATAAACGCTGCAAGTTGTGAAGCGCGTTCCATCCGCGAGCCGCATCACCAAGCGGAAAGTGAATGCGTCAAGCATAAACCAAGCTTAAGCCAGGGTATCCGCTGGTCCTTAAAAAGTCTTAAATTTGCTTTTCAAAATTGAAGGCCTTAAAAAAGACAAATAATCCTTAAATACAGTTTCCAAAGGTCTTAAATTACCAAAGGCCCACTAAACAAGATTTTATTTCTATAAAAATTTCGTGAATTTCTAGTTGGTGTTCAGCATTTCTTGTGTGTGATAATGGCGTAAGTGGAACCGTACACGTTCAGTTGGTTGTGAAAGGGGGCTATTTTTAGATGAGCACGTTAGCTGGTTACGCTAGCGGGAGCTTGTGCCATGGGGAAGTGCAAGTTTAATGCTAACTGGATGGCTAATCCCCGTTCGCGATGTGGTTAGCACCGGTTAAGTCTGGACATGAACCTCCATCTGGAATGTAACACCTTAGGTGTGTTCTTGCTGTGTCGTGGTTCTAATTCCATGCTTTCGTTCTTTTTAAACACAGAAACAGTTTTGTTTACCTGTTTTGTAGCTACAGTTTCGCCGTCGGCGAAAACAGGTAAACAAAACTGTTTCTGTGTTTAAAAAGAACAAAAGCATGGAATGTCACACCTGCTTAAAACGAACCTGGTTTGCGTGTTCTTGTATAAACGTGGGTCAGTGCACTGGTTGTTCACCTGCACAGTTATGAATATTATTTTTTCTGATTTATGTGCAGAAATTTGATGCTAAGACAACATTCTTCTGGGACATTTTTAAAACCATCAGCTTTACAGTCTGAAAACTGAAATTGAACACTTTCCCTGCATTTCTGCGTTTGTCTTGTGAATTTATATTCACGAACATCGATCCTGTCTTATCTGATGACGACTTCCTGTTTTGTTTTTCCTCCTTCTAGCCCAAGAGGCTTTGAAAACGTTAGCAGCCAGCTTCCCCCAGTACAACGCTCCCAGCTCCGCCTCAGCTGCAGCATCACCTCCCTCATCCAGACCTCATGTAGCTCCGACTCCGATCCCGGGAATGCCGGACACCCTGGCCTCCATTCAGCAGCTTCCTGCGAGGTACCGCCGGAGACCGCTAACCTCCGATGAAGTGGACTACATCCAGGTGAGGGGGTGTGACCAATCAGAGCATGCGTTTAATCTATTATAAAGATATTTTAGATCAGAAATAAGGACTGTAGCCTTATAAAAACATTATCTAGCTTGTTGTTTGCTGTTTTTATGACAAAAAGATCTTTTATGGAGATTTCAAAGCTTCATAAAGACTCTCATTCGTCCCATCGGGGAAGAAATGCAGACACCAGCTGACATGGAAGCTCCTAACCATGCGTGGAGGGTTTCAGACCAAGTCCAGCACCTTGAGACTGTACACTAGTCTTAAGGAAGGAGGCCGAGGACTAGTGAGTGTGAGAGCCACTATCCAAGATCCACAAGTACATCAGGGACAAGACTACAGCAGATGATGCGCTCAGTGAATGTCTCAGACAATGGCGAGCAGAGGAGGCGGCGCTGGAAATACCATCGTGGGAGGAAAAACCTCTACATGGGATGCACCACTGACAGATCACTAAAGTGGCTGATATCCAGAAATCCTACCAATGGCTAGAAAGAGCTGGTCTGAAGGACAACACAGAGGCGCTCATCATGGCTGCACAGGAATAGGCCCCGAACACCAGAGCAACAGAGGCTAAGATCTACCTCACCAGACAAGACCCAAGGTGTAGGCTATGCAAAGAGGCCCCTGAGGCAATCCACCACACAGCTGCAGGGTGTAAGATGCAGGCAGGGAAAGCATACGTGGTACGCCACAACCGAGTGGCTAGCATCGTGTACAGAAACATCTGTGCAGAGTGTGGACTGGAAGCCCCAAGGTCAAAGAGGGTAACACCCCATAAGGTAGTAGAAAATGAGAGCCAAGCTCCCGTGGGACTTCCAGATCCAGACTGACAAAATGGTGATGGCGAACCAACCGGACATTGTAGTGGTGGACAAACAACAGAGGACAGCCGCTGTGGTTGATGTGGCATTACCAAGTGATGCAACATCAGGACAAAAGAACATGAGAAACTAGAGAAGTACCAGGGCCTCAAAGAAGACCTTGAGAAAGCCTGGAGAGTGAAGACATCAGTGGTGCTCGTGGTCATCAGTAACCCCCAAACTGGAGGAGTGGCTTCCGGTTAACCAGCTATTAGCCGTGAAGGGGCGTCATTAACCAGTCAAAGAAATTTAGGAAATTCCTGACTGGGACCAGGAAACGGGACCACATCAGTCCGGTTCTGGCCTCCCTGCACTGGCTTCCGGTCTGTTATCGTTCACACTTTAAACTCCTCGTCTGTTTACAATTTCTTCCAGGGTGGTGCTCTCCCCCCCCCCCCCCCCCCCCCCAATCTGGCCACACTCCTGAACAGACATTCCCCATCACGAGCTCTGCGCTCCTCTGACCAAGACCTGCTCGCTGTCCCTCGTTCTAGGTGCCGTACTCGCGGGGACCGGGCTTTCTCAGTCCTAGCCCCGTCACTCTGGAACCAGTTGCCACCCTCAGTTAGGCTGTCCCCATCTCTGCCAGCCTTTAAGAGTCGCCTAAAAACCCACCTCGTCCGCTTGGCGTTCCCTGAACGTGTTTGAGTTCGGCCCTCTTTAATGCTGATTTTAATTCCCTGCTTTCATCGGTCTCTTCATCTCTTGTTCTACCCGTTAGTTTTCTACTTTAATGTTTTTGCCTGTTTTTCTCATGTACCGTGTTTAGCGCCTCGGGCTTCCCGACAGGGTCGCTTTCCAGATGGCGCTTTATAAATAAAGCTTTGATTGATTGAAATTTTGGAAAGTGTGCATCCCTAAGAGAGAACCACTTGATTGTTATTATCATCTATCTCTACAATATATTTCTAGCCAGGGGTGGACTGGTCTATCTTAGCATTCTGGCACCGTCCCAGTGGGCCGCTTAGCCAAGTGGGCCGCTTGCCCAGCTTAGGCCGACACTACTCCACAGCTGGTGATCTGCAGAACATCAGCTCCATGGTAACCCGAAGCTAACAGTTTTTCCAGGCGTTTTTAGCAAGAAAAGCGCGGCAGAGCGATGACGTAGGACTAGTTTTACCGTGTTAGCATGTAGCTAATGTCCCGCTGGTCTCCGCCTGTGGAGAATGGGCTGGTCTGGAAGGTCAGGGCTCTCGGTTGCAGCGGTCTGGCCCTGCTTGTAATTTAACAGTCCCAGTCCATATTAGATCTCACATTCGGCTTAGAGACGAGTCCGTGGGCGGCAACACCCCCCCACCCCCACCGCTCTCCCAATGGGGAGGGCCGACGATTCGTAAAAATGCCAGGGCCGAATTTTGGTCCCAGTGCACCCGTTTCTAGCGATGCTATATTAAAACGTTAACGGGCATAAAAAAAATGTTTTAGGCTAGCTTGTTTTTCATATTTGTTATTGTAGCTTTTTACATTTTAAATTGTAATTGTGTTTTTTTCACAGCGCGGCGGACCAGAATGATACGAAGGACCCGCCTCAACAGCCAAAGCCCTTATCTGTTGATCGGTTGGTGTCTTCCTTCTGCCGTCAGCTCGACCCCGATACCACGGAGAATAAAGCATTTCATAAATCCTGTTCAAATGTACATATGTTTACTTTTAGATGATTGCAATGTATTCGAAGTCCTCGTTGAAGGGTAACGGAACACAGCAGAGCCGTAACAATACTCACCTTTCCCTTTAACTGCAAATCTCAACAGGTTTTGTTGAATTTATTAACCCGATCTGAAAGAATCGACGTGTGTTTTAGCAGGACTACCCAGATGCAGTTAGAAACGTTTGCAATCAATCTGTTTTGTTCCACTGAAACTATAATAAAATGCATTTTAATGGTTGTGTTTTTAAAACGTCTGATCGACAGACCCAGAAGAACAACGGGGATGAGCCGTGGTTAGCTGACGTTGCAGGTATTTATTGATACCGTTGCTGGCATGCTTTAAAAGGGAAAACATTCACAACATTAAAACTTCACAGCAGTGTGCAGAAACACCGGCCACCATTAACACTTTCTCTAAATATGAACTCCAGGGAGCTGTTTAGTAGTTGGATAATAGCACAGGTAGTTCAGACATGACAAGGTCAAAGGTCACCCATCTGACCAGCGTGCTCAGTCTGGACCAGAGCTGAAAAAAAGCTGCTGCACTTTTTTTTTTTATTGCCTAGAAGTGACTCCGGCACAACACTGAATAAGTTACTTCTGCATATTTAAGCCTTTTTGGCAAAAATAAACAAAACGGCACCTAAACGCATGAATTCAGAACGATTCATGGCTTTACAAAAATACTTTTAAGATTTTCAAAAGCCTAAGATCAGGTACTAGCTCTGGCCTTCGTGACTAAACGCAGTACATTCCATAAACACCAACAAGTCACAAATGGTCACAACACTAGAAGGAACACGGATGACTCGGTCCTACGTGTGCTTGGTCACAACATAAACGGTGTCTTAATTAATCATAATTGTAATCCTTGATTAGGACGTTTTGTGCGAATGCCAGACTTTTCACAAGCACTTTGTTGCTCCGCAGCAAAAAAAAAAACACATCAATCGGTTTGTTCTTCCAGTTCCTCAAAAGCTGGAAGGAAGTCGGCGATGGTGTCCACCACATAGTCAGGAACAAAGCTGTGGTTGGTGGTCAGGTCACTATTCCTGTACTCCTGGGCCTCCTCCATCTGAGACACGCCGGTAAGCGTGAGCATGGTGTCCAGGCCACAGTTGGACCCGAACAGCATATCAGTCTCCAGTCGGTCCCCGACCATCAGGCACTGGGCGGGATCCACGCCTCTGAACTGGCTGGAGATGCACTCAAACATGAAGCGGCTCGGCTTACCGATCACCGTGGCTTTGCGACCCGAGGCCACCTCTAGGGCCGCAGTCAGGGACCCCGAGCCTGCAGAGGGGCCGACATAAGAGAGGTTAGATGATAGGAAACTAAGCAGATCGCACTAATGGGTTATTATTACTGGATCATGGTTTTTATGAAATATGACAACTAGATCTACTTAAGAATTAAAGTTAGGGATGCACCGATACTGGTATCGGTATTGGTGCAGATACCGATACGATACTAAGATCAGTATCGGTAAAAGTTAACCGATACCAGGAACCGATACCAATGCAGTTGCTTGAAAATGGCTTCACTGTAACTTGTCATTTCTGTTCACCTAATATTTTAGTTTTATGATAATTTATATTAACATATTTGACTTTTTATCTACCTCACAGTCTTTTCCTGTTGAAAGCAGAGAAGAAAATAAAATCTGCATTTCAATTCATTGCATTTTTTTGTGTGGTAGAAGTATCGTAATCGGTATTGGCGAGTACTCAGATCCAAGTATCGGTATCGTATCGGTTTGGAAAAAAGTGGTATTGTTGCATCCCTAATTAAAGTTAGGTTTAAATTGAGATAATAGCCTCAGTTTTTTTTTTTTTACAACAAACTGGAAAAAAGCATCAAAGGGTTATGTGTACTACACGATGAACCCTTTATGGTAGAGAACACAGAAAGTTACAAAATTACGTTTGATTACAGCAAGTATAGTCTAGACGAGGTCGTTAAACCAAGACGGTTTTTAATTGTCTGCAAAATCTTAATTTGGAAACTTGGATACCTCAGCGACCAGAGGCACCCTCACAAGGTGGCCAGGCAGGGGACACGGCCCCCCAATGGCCACCCCTGAGTAGACCACCCCTCACACACCCTATGATAAATCGCATCAATGTTCACACAAGCCACACGCTCATCTTCTTTAACTCATTCACTGCCAGCCGTTTCCTGGTCGCTAAAGACCTTCGCTGCCAGCGTTGCTCACAGTTTTTACTGGGTTTTTTTAAAGTCACAGAACGTTGCGCGCTGGCATGATGTCGACGCCAAAACAAAGCGGAGACTCACCTCTTACATCAGGAAGAATCCGCGCGTTTCGAGCGTTATCCGTTCTTTCATAATTCGTTGTTGAATTGTGATCGGCAGACGCTTTTCCGGTTCGCGTCTCACTTTTTTTTTTTTACAGCAGCGGCCCAAAAAGATCTCCTAACTCATGGATGTTCTGCTTCCTGAACACGTGACGTACGTGGATGGAGATCGGCTTCAGAGCTGGGACGTTTGTTCTCACGGTGCGGGGGCTCGCTCTGACGCCCACACGGTAAAAAAAAATGCACATGACCACTTTAGTCGTCATTGGCGGTGAATGAGTTAATCACAACATACATGTATCAGCCATCAAATACACTTTTAAACAAAACATCCCTCTGACCTGCATCAGATCAGAGATAGGGGTGTTGTGTGGGACTGATGGGCAGCTTTCAGTCCCAGTAAGCTGAGAGACTAACTTTTAAGGTGAGGCTTATCATTTTCAAAAACAAACAAAAATTAGTTTATTTATTTTAAGGTACAGACAGCAACAGGAGTGATTTTTTTTCTGGTAAATGTGTAGGATATATAGGCCTTTTTGCTTGAATTAGAAAAAAAATGAAGAAGCCGTGCAATGCAAGCTGATCTCTCCAGAGTTACCACAGGGACCAAAATGATAAATGAGCCGCACTTGTATAGCGTCTCTCAGAGTAAGGACTCCAAAGCGCTTTACACTACAGTGTATCATTCATCCATTCACACACTGGTGGGGATGAGCTACGACGTAGCCACAGCTGCCCTGGGGCGCACTGACAAATAAGGTATGCCACCCCAAACTTTTCACTGCCCCCCCCCCCCCCCCCCTTAAAAAACGTTCCTGGGAAGAGGAAGAAGAAAGTATCATTTCTATAGCGCCTCTCAAGATAAAAATCACAAAAACGGTGAAGGGGCGCCACTCATGGACGTAATTTTCACTTTAGAAGTGGGGGGGGGGGGGGGGGAGTATCTTTACAGTATGCTCTAATGCAGGGGCGGGCAATCCTGGTCCTCGAGGGCCACTATCCCACATGTTTTACTGTTTTCCCTGTTTCAACACACCTGATTTCAATCAGCAGATTAGCTGGCTTCTGCAGCTTGATGAGCTGCTGAATCAGCTGCGTTGGAACTGGGAAATAACAAAAAGATGGAGGATACTGGCCCTCGAGGACTGGAGTTGCCCACCCCTGCTCTAATGGGAAACAGGTGTCAACACAAACAGTTATTTTCCGCTTGGTCCTATAGCTCAACCAGTGTCAATTTAATATAAAGTAATATTGTTTTTGGATGGTAAAAAGTGCAGGGGTCATAACTTGACTTTGGAAAAAGTTGGGGGGGGACATGCCCCCTCACCCCCCAAAAAAAAATTACGTCCATGGCGCCACTGCCAGTGATCTCTCCAGTTCATGGTGGACAACAGCTGGTGATCTGTGTGGATCATCCAACCAGATGAACAGAACAGAAGTGCATCATCACACCATACCTGGGAGGATCCTCCCGCCCGACAGCGGGTGCCAGGGGTCGTTATCGGTGGCCAGAAACAGACACTCCGGGTCCCTCAGGTAGCAGGACGCTTTGGCCAGTTTGAGAAAAGTCAGTTTGTCATCGTGTCCCACCAGCACCGCCTTCACGTCCGGAGCCAGGCTGCAGTTGTAGATGGTGGCGTCAGGATCGTCCGCCTCCTCCACGCAGGGGATGCCCGCCTCCAGCAGCTCTCCACGGAGCGCCTCGCAGCCCATGACGAACACCTGGCCGCGGACCTTGACGACGTCTCTCAGGTAGAGAGCCGAGCAGTACGACGAGCTGAAGATCTGCTCCAGCATCACGTCGGTGAAGCCCAGGCGGGAGAACTTGTGCACGTAATTCTCCCGCGGCCTGGTGCAGTTGTTGGTGACGAACACTACGTTTTTACCGTGGCGGATCAGGGAGTTCACCACTGTCGCCGCTCCGCTGATTGCGTTTTCTCCGTGCCAAATGACCCCATCACAGTCGAAGAGGAAGAAGTCCTTCGCTTCGAGCAGACCTCTAATTTGAGGACCGCGAATTTTCTGGCAGCCTTTGAACCCAAAGGCGCCTGCCATTCCGGCGTTTTCCTCGTTTTCCTCCGTCTTTCAGCCGCTAGTGGCGCCCCATGTCTGAGGCTGGTGCGGAACACGACGAAGATAACAGACTTAAAACAGTAAAACTGATAAATGCCAGAAAATCACATCGCAGCGAGCTTGTTGGTGCGGTTCGTACGCGGATAGACGGAGGGGTACATAAACATTGACGTCCAGACGCACTCGCCTGTCCAGATCAACCAATCAAATTGCAGCACTTCAGCCAATCACGGCTGAAAATCTCGCGTCACGCTGAGATTTACCCGCATCATGAATACGCCGGCGTACACAGCGGACCAAGCCCCACCTCGCTTGTTGCAATTGTTTACAGCCGGGTTGTGCGCCGGCAAAACCAAAACGAGCGACATTCGCTAACAACCTCTTATGATAGCTGATCAAATTATTAATCAAATTATTAATCAGTTGAAATTATAGTTTGGAAATTTTGCGTTTTGATTTGTGTCTAAGCACCCAAAACGCCTTTGTAAAAAAAAAAAGTAAATAACATAAATGATGTTATTAAAATTTTTTAACTGCACAAAACTTTAAAGAGCAAGTCACCCCCTACCAGAGTCTTATTCCACTCCCACTTCATGTTCCTGCTGGCGTAAGTTATGAAATATTTCATCTAACAACAAGCAGTGGCTTCCTCCCATAAGAGAATAGAGATTAATAGTCTAAAAGCTACAAAAACAATTCCATTGTTGTATGAGGACATTTGAAATAACCATATAAATTTGCATTTATATTACTTAATAAAACAAAATTTGGTTTGTAGTCTTTCCTTGAACTTTGTGACTGTTTTAACAAAAACGGTAGAGGATGATTACACAGTCCATTTTCCGTTACTCACCAATCAGACACACAGCCAGGATCTTGGCAGAATGAAGCAGTGGAAGTGCCAGAAGAGAGAAGATCCAAAATATAATCCCCATGCAAACGCTTTTCTCACGCAACTCAAAAGGAAAATGGAATGAAAATACTTCTGCTGGAACCCCCCCCCCCCCAAAAAAAAAAGACAATTTACCCAATGTACTGCATTTAGCAAGATATGTTTAAAAGTCCGCTTTTGTCTTCCTTATTCAGTTATTTTTGTCTATATGTCTCACATGAGTTTCTCTAGAATCAGACAACGAGGAGACAGACAGACAGAACTAGTCGTGCAGAGAAATGAGAGGTAAAGTGGAAGTGGGGGGGGTGTGACGGGGTAGGACGAGTCTCTAAAGGCTTCTGATTCCCCCTCACACCACTACAGAATGACAAGAAACACACTCGTTCCGTAGAGTATGATTAATTTATTCAACTGGAATAAATGACTTGTCTGATAATGATGAGATAAAGTTCCAGCCTCCCAGTGACACCGTGTCATGGTCTGTGTCGGCCCCCTCCTTTTTGTGCCTCCTGGTGTCCTCCATCCCTCTCTAGATTCCCTTTTGTGTCTCATAGCGCCCTCATGTGTCCTTGTCTTCGTCTCAGTCTTGTGTCTTATGTGGTAACCGGTACAATTATTCCTCCCAGGTCCCGTGTCATCTCATTCCTCCCCAGTCCCTCCAGGTCTTCATTTTCTGTGTCCTTGTAACCTCCAGCCTCTCAGTCCCCTGCTCTGTGTGTGTGCTTGTCCTGTTTATATTAGTGCATTAGTGTGTGATGGTGTGTGTGTGAGTCCTTCCCTCAGTCTCTAGGTTTAAATTTTGTATTTTAGGGTTATCTGCCCGTCTCTGTTCTGTTTCCCCATTTAGATTATTGTCACCTGCCTTCCCTCCAGCAGCTCACTCCGCACACCTGCTGCCTGTTTTCCTGATTGCCCCTCCCAGTCTATTTAAGCCCCGTCTTGTCTCTGTCTTGGGTCGGTCCATTAATGTTTGTTGATTCTGTCAGTTCAGTCCCTTTGTGTTTAACCAGAGTTTCTTGATCCCCAGATAATAATCTGCTTTTTGACCTTTTGGATTTTGACTCCCCGTTTGGATAACCTTGGTTTTTGGCTTACCCACAAAATAAAGACTTTTTACTTAAAAATCTTCATCCCTGCCTCCGTGCCATCCTGGGTACTGCATTTTGGGTCCGCACCACCGGATCTTGACACACCGAGCAAAATAAAGCAGGTGTGGAGAATTTATGAGCATGTAAGTAAAACAAACCACGTAATGAAATGCACATTTACGTCAGCGTGGTCACACTCGGTCAGTAACCTGCAGGTCAGGCTGGACATGTGGGTTAACCTGGGCGATGTTAGTGTTACAAGTGCAACAGGTCCTTTTCTGGGTCAGAAACAGGAAACTGCCCCCACAGAGGGGGGTTTTAAACATGTTACTGTCGCTTGTACAGGCTGAATCAACGTGTGCAATACTGTTTAGTTTTTATTTA